CGTTGCCGCTGTCAAGATCGGACAAAAGACTGTTAACTATATTTCAAAGGAGGATCTTGAGACATATCTTTGGACCAGTGGAAGAAAATGGAATATGGAGGAAGAGGTATAACCATGAGCTATACAAACTATTTAATGAACCAGACATTATTGGATTTATAAAGGTGAAAAGGCTTGAATGGGCTGGACACACAATACGTGCCGGCGAGAATAGAACCATCAAGAAAATGCTTAATACTAAACCAGAAGGAAATAGGAGAGTGGGAAGACCAAGGTTAAGATGGGAAGAATGTGTGTGGGGCAGGACATAAGAATTTTGGGTGTAAAGAACTGGAGGAATGTAGCATCGAATGGAGAAGAATGGCGAGCAATCCTGAGAAAGGCCAGGGCTCACAAAGGGCTGACGTGCCAGTGATGATGATGATGATGATGATGACCATTGCTAGGCAACCGCTCGGTATTTATTATTATTATTATTATTATTATTATTATTGGAGGGGAGTGGGTTTCTCCATGCACCGCGACTAATAGTCTATTGTACGTCCCCTTTTGATATTCTACCAGTCGCCATACCCTGCCGGTACTGGTGCTCGCTATCAGCCCCGTTCAGCCAGCGAGGCTGGCAGTGGTACCCGATAACTTCCCCATCTACCGGAGGCATTGGAAACTACTTAGGCGGGAAACTTTTTGCCTAATTTTGCTCAGAGGTCTCCTAGAGACATGAGGATCTTTTACGTGCCGTAAATCTACGACACGGGACCCACGGGTTAAAGTCCCTCCCGGAGAACTTGTTCCCTGAAATTTGCCGTCCTTAAAAATTCCACGACCTCCGCCGGGTTTGAACCCGCGTACCTTGAGTCATGAGGTGGGAACGTTACCCCTAGACTACAGAGGCCGCTAACCGCTCGGTAAGTATGTTCCTGTTGCAACGAATAGACACGGAATAATCCATTGCTTGGCAACGGTTAAACACAGAATAACAGAGGAACTGTAAGACATGCTGACTTATATTCCGTCCGCCTGGAAGTTAGTTCAGTTCAGGAGAGGTAAATCATTCGGCATTCGTAAGGGAGTTCAATGTTCGGCTGTGAACAGCGGACAACGGAAGCTGAAGAAGTAAATGATTCGTAAATCAGAACCAAGTCAGTCACAGTGGAAGAGAAGACACCTGTATGGAGCGAGTCTTAGGCAGTCACTGATTGTGAGCAGTTACAATTGATTGTAATTGTAATGGAAGTGCCAATAAACCAAATCATCCAATCCAGAGCCCATTAATATTCGTCACGCAAACCCCAATACGAGGCAACTTGCTGCTTGTTTCTCGCTCGTTGCTTGCTTAGCATTTTTCAGATCCCGAAGATGGAGGCAGTATATTCCTCCGAAACGTCGGTAAATCCTGCCGGACTGCATGGGGTCACATCCCAAAATGCAGTACTCTTCATAGTCACCCATATGAATAACTCAAAACGAACGTCAGTAAAATTTCAATCGCATAGAACATATATAGCACCTAGCAGCCCGTTCGCCTGGAGCAGCTTATTGCACTTTGCCCACTGTACTCCTGCTACAGAGCCACGTATCACTTACATTCTGCATCCCGTAAGGTAAAGGCAAAATTGTCCCTGTGTTTAATTAATTAAGCATGGCGTCATGAAGATGTATGGGGAAGCTGAGGTATAGCTCCATCATTCTTGACCTTGGCAAGAGAAAAGTGTGGTCAGCTTCACGTCCCGGTCTTCTTACACCCGAAGAAAGAACGGCAGGTATCAACAACTAGACAGGAGGCTGGGTGGGCCCCAGAGTCAGTCTTGATGTTGTGGCGTACAAAAAAAGCTCTTGCCCTTGGCTGGAATCGAACCCCGGCTGTCCAGCCCGTAGCTATACTGACTGAACTATTGTAGCTTCGATTACATATCCCATGTAAATGCCGACCAGAGTGGCCCCGCGGTCTAAGGCATGAATGTTTGTGTGCGTTTATTTTGTTTGTGTTGTTCTGTGTGTAGGTATCGGCCATGCGTTTGGCTGATCCCCCGTCCAAGGATTTCTACCGACTGCGTATAGATTAAGAGACTGAAAAAGCGGCAAAGGTCCACAAGGGTTGTAGAACCATAGATAGATAGATAAATAAGTGCTATAATAGTTGTTATTACCACAATTAACATAAACGTGTAGGCATAAATATGGTTCATAGTGGCGTATCAAAATAGACCTTGAGAGGGAGGCTGGTTTTGTGCTCAGCCAGGAAACTTCATGATGTTCACTAATTGTTTTTCTGCGGTTCATTTAACGATATTTTCATAATACGTACATAAAGTCGAAGCTTATGAATTGGCCTCTGTGTGGAGTGCAGGATGTTCTGGATTCTGTATATTTTGGTACAAGTCCACAAGGGTTTCGGAGGAACCTATCAACTCCATCTTCTGAATCAAACAATAAGTTGACTCCTTCTTGCTGTTTCTTGCGCGGCATATTCTTAAAACCTGAAGATGGAGGAGATATGTCTCCGAAACGTCAGTAAACTTCTACTGTTCATAGTGACCACTATGAGGAGCTCAGATCCCACAGGAATAGGCCTATAGAGATATATGAAATATTTCTGTTAGTACAGCAACTGGAATGCCGGCAGCCACGGTTTGACAGAACAAAAAATGTCAAAATATGTCTGCATATGTGGAAGATAATATCAGAACAGATCTTAGAAATTACAGTGTAACGTTATGGACTGGATTCAAGTAACCCATGTTATGGATTTTTTTTCCTTGGCACTACAGCCCCAGTGGGCCTAGGTCTACCTCCATGAACTCCGTTCACTTCGGTTCTTCTAGATCTTACACATTCGGTAGGATTCCTTGGGCGAGTGATCAGCTCGTCGCAAGGCCTCTACCTGTAGACAAACACAGAAAAACGCACACAAACATCCATGCCCTGAGTGGGATTCGAACCCACGATCTCGGCTTCCGAGCGAGCGAAGACAGTGCGTGCCTTAGACCGCTCGGCTACCGTGACCTGCATGTTAAGGATTAATAGCAGGTTTTCACGAACATAGTAATGCAAGCCGGGGAGTATTTGATTAGCAGCAAGACCGTTTCCTTTCGAAAAGCATCTCCTACGTGGAGTCGGCGATGATTATGTTCTAAAAAAAACCCATGACATTTCATAGTAGATTCGATGGAAGTGAAAGTCGTGTTTTCAAGCGTTTCTCCACGAACTTTACAGATGCACTCGTCCAGTAAAAGTTACCGCGAGGCATTCAGCAGCGACTGCTCGCTTACTGCTTGTGAAGCACAAGGCCCTTCCTACTTAGTGTCAACAGCCGGTCACTGATGTACCTTCCTTCCAACATTCTTTAGCAAGGATGAATACAAACGAGCTGGTGTGAAGGATTACTTGGGCACCTTAGTTTATTTGGCGTCGTTTTCCCAACTGCCTATGTTACGACTATATAGCGTGTAAACGGAAGGATAAGCGAATGATGAAATACGGGGCCTGCTTAGCCACCTACCCAGTGGGTACTGTGGACTTACTAACCGGGGCACGAAACTGACCATTCATCTCCAACCGATGCCGAGGAAAATAAATGTACTGAGGAGCTATACAATCATCTGGGGGGATGATGATGTAGCTCCTCAATACATTTATTTTCTGGTACTGGGGGGTACATTTTTGTGGTGCTTAATAAAGCATACGAACTTTGTCTCCTTTTTTTATAAGTAACAGTGAGGAAGGAAACATCTGTAACCTGTTTATGTCACTGTTCCTCTTCAATGTCTCTGTCTTTATGACAGTAACTGAAGAAAACTGGCAAGTTGTGATTATTCACATTATATGTTGATTATTTGGTTACCAAAATCCGAATGAATTAATTAAATTTTAATTTTCATAAGGAAACTACCTTATTCATGAGATCAGTGATGATTTGTGATGGCAGATACATATATTATTTGTTGCCAACTACGTACACAACACATATAAAAAACAAATTATTTTGAATAACATTTATAATTATGTAAAGATTATAAATACATGTAAAGTAAAAGTATCCCTGTAACAGGCCGTGGAGGTCCATAGGGTTGTGAGATGTTGAGGTTCCCACATTATCTAGAAAATCGGCTCACAGATGGCGGCAAGGTTGTCAGCCCTATGCGCCGGCCGCCCTTTACCCCCAAAAACAGTCCAAGAATATTCCTGGTACTCATTTCTGTTAGAGGTTGAGTCGACCCCAGGACCATAGTGCGGCTGGAAGGATTAGGTAAACTTAAAACATTTCAATTACCTCATCGGGATTCGATCCCGCGACCTTCCGGCTTGTATCATAGTGCCTCAACCAACTACGCTACCACGTGCCCCATAAATACATGTAATATATAAAGCAGAAAACATTTTGTATATTATATCAGTCAAGGAAACCTAAGATATGAGAAATTCCAGAGATTTCTCAATTCTCACTAAGCACGGTAGCACTCTGGAAACAAAACTCGGTTTCCGGAGACTCCGGCCTAAAACGAGGGTAGAAGCAACCACAACTGGAGAGGGAGTGTAATCCTAAAAAAAAAGCTCAACTGTCCACTTCTTTATAAGAGGCATGGATGTCAACGGATAGTTTGACTGAAACACAAATAATACATTTCTGTAAAGTTGCTTCTGTTTTCTTCACATACAGGGCAAACTAAAAATGTAAACAATATGTAATGCTAGTACTTCCTTGTAAGCATTTTGGCGTAGAACGACACCAATTTAAATCACCCGCCCTCAAATGTCACCGAATCACTCATCCTCCCTGTTATCGACCCGCGTAAATAGTTCCCCCCCCAAAAAAAACGCACCGTAAAGTCAACGAAGACGGGAAAGTATGAACGTAACAAATATAGGTTAGTACTAAATTTAACGAGAAGAGAACAGTGCAGTTGTTTGTCACACATGGTTATCACAGCAGTATATATTTAACAGGTTTTGTGAACTGGAATAACTGTAGAAACTGTTATCAGTCAATACACACTTACCACACATGACGCTTGTGTTTGGCCACGTCCGCTACTAACACTTCCTCTGAAAAGACTTCAACAGAATGAGTGGTTCAATAGCACGCTTGTGTGTTTTAGCCACATTGACGGACACAGGGAGTAGGCAAATGTTTGCGTCGTCTGCTGGTAAAGATCTGAACGAAGATAAGGATTGAGGTGAAAGATATTGATTTACAGATGTTATTAAGTAATGCGTTATGTTGAAATGGTATTACAAACTGTCTTCAAGCCTATTCATTCCACATAAAATCCTTTAATTACATCATTATTTTCTACTCCACTTTCACTGCTTGTGACCACAGGTGATCAAGTCCTTGTGACAGATGTCGGTAGTTGTATTTTCACGTATGTTCACATTTAAACGTATTACTCTTCGAGCCACCAACGAAACGCACTTGCAGATCACAGGCATCGTAACTCAAAAGTCTATGATAAGAGTGAAGTTTCTCATATTTACTATTTTGCGTAATATTTAATGTCTTATGTTGGTACCATTTCCTTAGCCTTCTATATTTGGGTGAAACCAACAATATGTCAGATTCTATAAAAATACAATAATTTGGGGTTACGTGATAGCCGTTATGGCCGTTATAAGGGTTTTGAGCGTTTTGAGCGACCCGTGGTCAGTAACAGCTCGGATCGCCCGGATCAGATAAACACGAACAGTGCCACAGAGAGGTTAGGTTAAACTGCAGTGGAGAGTGTAGTGTTGCACAAAAATTACAGACAGTGGACGGAATCGCGGTTGACTTGGTTAAGATGTGACGTATTAGCGTTGTATAAATATATTTAATACAGTACACATTAGAGTGAAATATAATAAATGTATGCCTTTTTAATTTTCTTAATTAAATAATTTTCCTGGGGAGTAAAGGGCGGCCGCCGCGTAGGGCTGACAACCTTACCGCCATCTTTGAGCCGATTGTCTAGACAATGTGGGACCCCCAACCGCCCACAACGTCTCACAACCCTATGGGCCTTCACGGCCTGGTACGGGGATATCTTTACTTACTTTACTTTCCACTTTCAGACTCTCATATTTGAAGTCTTCCCAACATTCGGTAACTGGCAATGTGGTTTAGAGCGTTTAGAGGACTCTAGCCCAGTGTGGTGCGGCAATTGAAGGATGAATGTGGTGAGATTTTAACAGTTCCAATACAGAAGAATGTAAGCTTGCTGGACCTGAAAATCGTTGAACTGTAAGTACCACTTACATGGGAGCCTTATTGCTTAAAATGTTTAATTTGAGAACATGTTGCTTAATCCACTGCAAAGTAATCGCGCCAAAAATTCTCAGACAAAAATATCTCATGCCTTCATTTAATGGTTGTTGATATGGATGTTACCAAAGATGCATTAATCCTCGGTTAAAGAACGTACAAGAAACGTTTTGTGCTGGGTTTATGTAGAGTATTATCGCATTTACAGCCATGTTCATGTACTGGGCTGTTAGCCGTTGTGCCAGTTATTTTTCCACGAGAACTGGATTATGAACTTATTAGAAATATAAATGCAAGAGAAGACATGAAAAAATTGACATTCACTTCATGTGTTGTAATTCTTACGATTCAACAAGTGACGCTTCCAAGTTTATCAGTATTTAATGGCATCTTTAAAAGAAAATTATGTTTGTGTACATGATGGCAACACCCCATCACTTGATGGGATCACTTACCTTAGCAGATAGAGGGTATCATGTGGTCAGTACAACGAATCCCCATGACCATTAATCTCGGTTTTCTAGACCAGAGAGGCTATTTCCATGAAATAGCTCCTCAGTTGTCCTCATGAGGGTGAGTGGACCCCATTCCAGACCCACTACTTCTCAGAAATTCTGGTAATGCCGGGAATCGAACCTGGACCATTGGATCTGTAGGCAGGAACTCTGACCACTAGACCACAGAGGTGGTCCACTGTCACTATATTTACATCTCTTGATCATTCAGTCGAAGTGTATTTAATTCAGAACTGGAAGTGGAATCCACCCATTTATGCCAAATTTGATTGAAAAATACAATTCATGTATGCATTGATGTGCTGTTTTATTAGGTGAACCATCATTATAGTGAAGAGTGTTGTTATTATCAATATATGGATTGGAGTGAAATTCCTGTTTGGCTTATTGGAGTGGTGCCTCAGTTGGAAAAGCATGATTACTCAATGCAGTCCATGGGATAAACCTGCTTGGACTTAATCAGAGGTGACATTGAGGAGGGGATAGGTAATAACAAGCCATTACGGGTATGTAAAGACAGTTAAGTAAATTGTTCTTATTATCTGAATTATTACAGAAAGATTGTACTCTTTGCAGTTTGAAACTTCTGTAGAATTTGTATGAAGTTTTCCCACTGTAGCCTGCCAAGTTTAAAATTTGAATCTGCAAGAATCTGTTATGGGTGAGTGTAAAAATAAGTTTAAAATATGCTAAAAGTATATATCATTATTTTTTATTTTCACTGTTCATTGTAAATTGATCTTCACAGATTATACAAATAACATCTAACATAATTTTTATTGTGTATTGTTATAACTACCAACTTTATATGCTTTCAGAAATGACATAAATTCAGCACCACAGATACATAAATGGCTTTGCATTTCTGTATAATGAAATGTGTCATGTTTCCACTTTCTAGCATTAGACCTTTAACTGCCATGTTCAAGAATTCTTTGGTTGACTGTGACATTCATGGATTGTCAGTCCTAAGTGTACTCTCTTTGAACTTGGTATTGTAGTACTCATTTTTGTTTCTAATTCTGTTGTGAGTGATCAATAAAGTATCTTCATTGAAGCATATTGTGGCTCTTCATTCATTTATTCAAACCATTATCCTTGTAATATTTTGGTATTTTTGTCTGTAAATATGTAACAGAAACATTATCACTGTTTGTTCTTAGACTGAATTTAAAAAAAAAACAGTAGTCATGATTTCTGCGTTTGTTAGTAAATGGTAAATGCACTAAATATCTTTTAGTGAAAATGTTATTTGGGTATGAAGGGACCTTGTCTTTTATTGTGTGCATGTTTCATCTGCCATACTTCATAACAGGTTTCAGATAAACTATTTTCAGAAGCCTGCACCGAAAATTGTTGGGTTGATTCATGTCTATTCATATTTGTCCATTAGAACCACTTCTTGGACCACTTAGCAGTGGGATAATACTTCGGAACCCTGTTTGAGACATGTGTGTCTGCAGTTTACTGTCCTTTGCTGTCCTGTGTGTGTATGTGCATTGTGATGGGACAGTCCACCATCCAAGGAGACCTGCCAACTCTGAATGACTTTTTGAATTAATTCTGCATCTGAGTTTGCCTAGTCCGTGAATAATAAAGATGTAGAAGGTGACTGGCTACTTTGTTTGAAGTGACATATTTTGGTTATTCTTTGTTAATTAATAATGGTAATCAAAAATATTTTAAGTAGAAGGACAGAATTAAAGAAAGATACACTTAACATTAATGTAGAACACATTTTAAATTCCAGTTACTGCTTTCCAGAATAGTACTGGCTTATGATTCTGTCTTGAGTGTTCTGCACAAATGATGAGTGTAAATGAAATTTCTTATGGATATGAATTAATTATTGGTGAAAATAACAGCACTCAATCATTCCCGTCACAATCATTAGTTCAGTTATGGTAGTCATAATTTGCAGATTTAATTACTATTATCATGCCACATGTTATTAATAAAATCAAACTTATATGCGCATGGTAAAAAAATCCAGTATTGCATCACAGATGCAGATTAAATGCATGGCAGTTAGAAGGTTAATGAGTTAAACTTCTTAAAAAATATAACAAGGACAAGAAATTAGAAGAACCACTGGAGGTAGACAAATATTTCAACAGTGTACCAATTATAACAACTATACACATAATTTAAACTAAAAATTACAATCACGTAGTCCCCCATTTTAACAAAAAATTAAAAAACAGCACATTATGACCACCATGTAGGCTACTTTTTATATATTTATATCTACATATTATATATACGTTATAAATTTTAATAAATCTCTATTTTTGCAAATATTTATTCATATAGTCAACCCCTACACATACACAATTTTATGACATTGAAAAATGAATCCATTTTCATCATGTAATTCAGCATAAATGTTATATATTTAATTGCTTTTATTCTTACACACCTGATGATGGTCAGAAGAGATCCAAACATAGTGTGATTAATATTGTAGCGTGTTGTGTGTGTTACAATATAATAAACTGATCCAGTTAGTGGTTTCACATAATATCATTTTATTATACAATAATCAAAATGTAGCTTGATAGTACTAAAAGTTTATATTCTTAAAATACCACCAATGTTCCAATCGATGTAATATTGTAATGGTTGAAGCTGTTTATTTCAAATATCAGCATTTAAGAACAGTAAGAAAAATTACATTCTATGATATGTTTTCCTTAGGGTATATATATATACACATGAACCATTTTATTTTCATCCAAACCTTCCTTACATGAGCGATTCATGTGGTAGTCTTCATCAGAGCTCATCTTTCATATCACAAAATGCTTTTTAGTGTCACCTCTAGATATGTTTTTTCTATGATATGTTATATTCAGCATTTCACTGCATTTCGGCAGTGTCTCAGATGTTAAGAAATATACCTTTCACATTATTTACTATAAAACAAAATGATACTATATATTTTTGCATGGCAGTATAGGTACATAATGACCTAATGGTTACACTGATATGTATAACGATGTACACAATCTACAAAATAAAATTCTATACATTCGTTCATGAAGGCCATTGAAATGTACAAGTGTTCTCATTTTTCAGTTGTTCTCCCACGCATGCATCAAAAGGTTTAGATATACAGCTGTATCATTTGTGTCACAATACTATGTTACATTATACTGTAAATTAAGCAGTCTGTTGAAGAAATTTGTGCACTTAAATTACTTTTTTTAAACTGAAAGCATGATATATTGGATTGTTATAAAAGAGACAAAGTTTGAAATTGCATTTTCAGTGAAACCCCAGTAGGTTTTTGTATTTAAGGTTTTCCTGCATTTAAGGGGCCTTTTTTTTTTTGTGGTCCTGGATGAAGCTCCATGTAAATATTGTATTATTTTCCTGGTTTTAGTGTTTTTCAATTTAATGATTTACCTGCATTTTACACATGAAAAGTAAATTCTTATGTTAGCTTCAGACCTTAGTTTTGTATTGAAGGGAAATTTTTTTGTGCGTTGAAGTGTAACTCACATGTGGCCATCTTTGTGCTTTTCTAGGTCAACACACACACCCCCAGTACCCATTATGCAATGTGGTGATTACCTCTGCTTAGTCTTTGTGTTACATTATATTGTTTTGAAGTACATAGTAAGTGCTCTCTTAGTGCTGAAAACATTCATCATGTATTCATAAATTTCAGTTTTGTGCAATTTACATTTTGGTAATAGCATTGAAAAGAAAGACGCTCATTATAGGTGAAAAGATCAGAATTATCAGACAAAACTGCCTCTAAACCTAAGTGTCACATTGTGAAGACATGGCGCATGTAATAGGAAAATCTCATGCCTTTTAGACCTGAAGGTTACTGTCTTCAGGTTTATGATACTGTGTAATCCAGTATATATTTACCAGCATTCTGGAGGAACTTGCTAACTGCATCAAGGTAGAAGACTGAGGCAGAAAGTTGCTCCTGAATATTGGAAAATATCTAGCAGACTGCAGTGTCATATCCCAGAAGACAGCAATTTTCATGCAATTTCAGTTGATGATAGTGAACAGTAAGCATAACATTCAGGCTTATTTACTCATGGGGGAAGGTTCTCTCAGTACACATAGGGTAGGAGCCCCAGAACTGATCTCAGTTTGGTAGCAAAGAGAAAGATCCTTCCTTTTATTAGGACTCGAACCCTAATCATCTGCTGTTTATCCATTTTCCTGTCTGGTTTACCCTGGCTCTGAAGTCAGAGTAGGCTGAGTAAATCGTAGGAAAGTAATGTATTAAAAAATGAAAAAAGAAGACATTATTTTATTGATAGGTTGGCAGGGATGGGGCAACAATATAATAGTTCACAGTGATTTGAGTCTGATCTAATTATGTGAATAAAGAAATTCATGGGCAAAGTAAGGGATTGTGAAGTTCAGGTTTGGTCCGTAGTTGAAAGTGAAGCCTTTATTATAGAGTTTGTTGTGAGAACTCATACCTGTCCTTTTTTTCCTTATAGAGTGTCTTTTGAGGTGTAGATAAATTAGACAGAACTCTTTACTGTGATGGGAATGTGATATGAATAATGTGGTCGAGCGGAGAATGTGTTGTAAGTTCCGTATTTTTGTCAGTGATGCATGTAAAGTGGGAAACATGAAACAAGTTGGCTGAACTAATAATATGCCTGACATATTTAGGATGTGAATGGTTAAAACCTTGGCTGGAACACTGGCTATCTTGACCGAATTTTTCATAGTTGTTTTCTGTCCCTTGAGGCAAATGCCAGGATAGTACCTCGAATTAGACCACAGTGACTTCCCACCAAATTGTCTCCAATTCATTATTCACTAATCATTCTAGCATGCAATGCTACATAGTCTGAGCTACTAACATGAGCATTAAATGAACTATTAAGTGGAAAGCTCCATTTTTTCAGTCGATGGTATTGCTTTACCTTTTGCATAAATGTACTCTTGTTTTAATGTCTGTTCTTAATTATTTGTTTGCAAGTGTTAAACTTATCAGATCATTCGTATATGTCAGTTATGATGATTATATCAGTACTGTCTCAAGAGCTAGTTCTCTTACTGGCTGCAGGAATTGATNACGTCGGTTAACACCACATATACACGGTGCCAAATCCCAGAAGACTGCTTTCTTCATTGATAACACTGATTTGAAGGAAAACATGCATACACCCTATGTATATGTTGTTTTAGGTATAAATAATACAAATTAAATGTCTTTTTAATTCATTAATTTGTAAGAAATGAAAATTTACTGCTTGTGGATAAACAGTTCTGTAACTTTATCTGTCATTAAATTGTTCTTACCACCAATGTTTCGTAGTTACACAGACATCATATATACCACACCTATATTTCCATTAAATGAAAATCCTGAAGACTAGGAAGCATCATTTACAATTCTTGTAATATTTTGAAGCTAATCTACAGCAGTACAATTGCTTTAAAGCATACAGAGGAATGCAAAGTATACTTTCTTTGTAGATACATGTTGATTCATTCTAAACTCTACTTTAAATGGACAAGAGTCACTGTGCGGGCACCCACATGATCAAGTGGGACGAAACAAGTTTTAATATAGATAGAAGAAATAGTATAAAATAGTATTATCACAACATGTAATAATTCTGATTTCAGTGCATCAAAAAGAGATAGGTGTTCTTGTTGTGGAATCTTTGTTGCAACTGGGCTTCTTACTTCTGTTAATGGTCAGAAACAAAGTATCATTACTCCATCTGCATATTTCAGGTTGTAAACATGCTTGTATACTTAAGATTTGAGTTTCATTATGAAGTCTTACTACAGAATCAACCATATTAGAGTGAAGTCAGAAACCAAGTATCAGAGACCTGCTCCATCTCCATTATCAGGATTAATATAGAGAGTTAAGGATGTTTAAATGTCAACTATTGCATCAACTCTGATGACAGAAACAGACCAAGTCTCCAAAACTTTGCTTTTTGACTCAATTTTGATGTGACTGAATATCCAAGAAAATATTAAATTCATCCTTTCATGTTTATTGCAAAGTAACTCCAGCCATTAAGAGCTTATTTTACTGGGAAAATTGGATTAAGCAGTCACACTTGTAACTTGTATTTGGGAAGCATCAGCTTCAAAACTTGGCCAGGATGTTAACTATCCTTTCCAAGTTTTTCATGGTTTCTCTCAGTCCCTCCAGGCAAGTTCAAGGATATTATCTTAGACTAGGCCCATAACCGCTTTCTTCCATATATTTTTCAATCCAATATTCACTGTCATCCAGTCATTTGATGCTATGTACTTGGATTTACTGACAGTGCTGTTAAACTACAAAATGAAAACAGTGAGTTACTTATACCAGCAGGAAATACTTGTATACTGTACTTGAATAATGAAATTGTCTATTGCTATAGTCCCACATGCATATATCTCTGATGTTAGTGCTGTGTTGCCTCATAGTGTTTATCTGATGCTTTGATGCTTTACACAGTTGCCAAACAATAAAGTGACAGTAGACCAAAGGATGGAAGTTGGAGAATAAAGTAGGAAGTCTTTATTTTGTTTCTACCAACAAGATTTTTGAAGACATTCCATCTTAATTATCTTCCACTGTCCATCCATCATTGCACATTCACTGTGCAGGGCTTAAATGTCAACTTGTCAACAAAACTGTGTTTGCACTGAAGGCACATGGATCATAGTGTTTATGAGCAATAGTCCACAGGGGTAAGATAATTTACTCTGTTATGGTAATTTGGCAGGAAGTTAATGAGTTCTTTGGATGAGCACACATTACTTGGATCAGTTACTGATAAAAGAGTGCATTCCCTTAGGACCTTTGGCAATAAATTTTTCATTTAAATACTGTAACAAAGTTCCATATTGGAACCTATCTCTTTTAGTTGCATTTGCTACTCTGGACTTGCATAAGCATACCTGTATTTCTCATTCATTGCATAATGCATGAACTGTGCATCATAATTCATATCATATGTTCAGAGTCACATTCTTCCATGTTCAGAAGTGAGTATATAATTCATACTACAAGCTTATGAATCCAGTGCTTAAAGTGGACACAACAGTGTTAAAATATTTCTTTTCAGAAAGATTAGAAATCTCTATTTTTTTTACTAATTCTTAACATGAATGTATTATTGTCTGCAACCGTAGCAAAAAGACCTTTCAGTTTCTTTATTTCTCTTATTTTGTACAACGAAAAATAGCAATAAAAGAAAGTGCAGAGCACAGTGGCAAAAGATTTTTCTTCTGTTATTTATGAGAGTTCATTTTATTTCTCCATCATCCTGGCTAAAATGGCAGTAAGTTTTCTAAAAGAGAAAAGTTATTCTAAGCACAGTGAAACACCAATTTGAGGTATTTTTTTGAGGAACAGTGGATTTGAGTGCTGCACTAAGGGAAATCTTTTAAATTGAAGAAATTTAAGGTGGTGATTATTGACTTGAGTCATTGAAATTGAAAATTGAAAGAATGAAAAGTTTAAATTGAAGAGCGTGAAATGTGAATCCACTGTATTTCAGGTTAGTGTGTATTAGCTAAATATTAATATGCATGAACGAATTGCTGGGTCATTTCTAAAATGTTATGGGTTTATTTTCTTTACCT